AGGCCAAAACCAGTTCTGTTTATAGGTGTAAAGTCCCATTTCCGAAGAGAGAGAATTTGATTTTTCAAGAATATTTAAGAATTTGTATTCCATAATTCTCAATTTTCTGTAAAAACTTTGGCAAATTACAACTTCGAAATATGAAATGTGTCCCTGTATATGGAATATGGAATGATATGTAAGGGAATATTTACAAAATGGACAAATTAGAGATCAGGGGTAACAATAATTTCAATCTGCAGCACATTTTTCAAAGGCATTTTCCATTAAAAGGAGCTTTATGAAAAGACGGCCATGCAACAGAAGAAAAGTGAGGGGCTGTAATTTTAAGGAAGAAGTATTCTACATCACGTTATTACTTACCGGAATCGGGTTCAATTTTCCCAAGACTCATATCCTGTGGCATGAGACCAACGGGATATCCAGAACGCCAGCTTGCAATAACTGAACCATATGTTCCTTTTCTGGATATAACAGCTTGACCTCTTCCTGTAGTAATGTTTGTAAGACGAAAAGCTAATGATTCAAACCCAACCTAGTGCAAAATAAATAAACTGGTTCAGGGTTTGTAAGTAGTTGCAGTTACCAAGGAGTGAATTTTCGAGATCTAGTAAGAATATTATAGAAATCTATTTACATTCCAAAAGGACATTAAAAGTAGATTTCAGGGTAAAACAATAAAATAAAACATGTAAAAAATGACTGAACTGTCAGGAGTGATTATTCAAAAATAAGTCAAAATATCACTGAGCCATTTATGAGAATCCACACACACAAAAAGAATGGGTGATCGCTTACTAGAATGTGGTGCTATAAACACCTCCAGTATTGCCACACCAGTAATAACGTGGTTTTTCTCGGAGGAATAGTTAACACATCATTTCTGCTGCTTACTGTAGCATCTTCTTGCAATGGGGCACTGCAGTAAGTAGCGTTTGATGATGTTTTGCAATATATAAATATATATATATGTGATATTGTGTGATATGCTGTTTATTATGGTTTGAAAAAGACTCATTGTGTTGAAACGTTGCCTTTTTACCTCAGTGTCCAGAGTGTGACTGGATTGTCCTTTTAATTATAGTTCCATTCTAGTTACTACACTAATTTACCCACAATCAAATAGTCAAAAGAGTCCCACAGAAAGACAAACTGCAGACTTCATGGACAGATGATAACAAAATGGCGGCAGCCAGACATTACAATCCCGCGCAAGGGAAAAATGACAATAAATATAAATAAAGGCAAGTGGTTAATGGGGAGTATAATCACTAAGATATATGGGGAAAAGGAAAGGAACTTAAAAAAAGAAAATAAACTGGCAGTGTCGCTTTAAGTATTGAGAGGTTCGCATTGCCACACTATAGGCGTGTGACCGACTGCTCTGCATCTGCATTAAACATGTAGCTCATTTAAAGGGACATGCCTTAAATATAATTGCTTTGTTTTAGAAGTTCAGATTACTTTATAAACTAAATAACATAAACAACTGTGTTTTCTTTAGCAATAAATACCGGCTTCATAATGTTAATTTCTATGCCTTAACTGGGTTTAGGGTTTAAGTTTTAGGGTTTAAGTGACGAATCACCGTGCAACGTGGCATCTAGTATAGAAATGACCAGAGTTTTATAAGTAGCGGCTTTTGACACCTTAACCCCTTAAGGACACGACTTCTGAAATAAAAGGGAATCGTGACGGAATATTTCCTTTATGTGTCCTTAAGGGGTTAAAGCACAATAAAGCTGAATATATGAAGCTGAGACAGAATATCTGTAAATAGATTTCATTTGTCATGCTATTTAAATGTTAACTGTCTACTTAAATGTTAACTAGCATGGTACAGTACAACTGCGCAAACTATATTTGTGCTGCGTTAAAAGAGCTGTAGAATGTTGTATTTGGTTTCCCTCTAGTGGTACACAGTGAAATTACAGTCAAGAGAATTTGTATTACCTCGGAATTGGCAGCATCCTTCGGGACGGATATTGAAGTTGGCTTTTGTTCTTTGAGAATGTGCGGCTTTCCGAAGGTGCTGTCACCCATCAGGCTCACATTTGTTAATTCGAGAGAGAAATTAAACCCAGGTAAAAGAAAAACCTAAAAGGATACATGAAGTAATAATAACATATACCAATCAGAACAAAGAGCGAACACTTTAGATTATCATTTTTTTATGTTTCAATGTTTTGAAGAAATATTAATAGAATAATTCTCTAATTTAGTGGAAATGTGATATATTTGAAGACATACGTTACTGCGTGGTGGAACCCGAAAGTGTATTAGAATGAGTTAATGTATGTGTGATAGTGTGGATCTGTGTATGAGTATCAGTGTGTCTTTGTATGCATGTTTTATGATTATGTCTATGATTATGTGCTAGTTTGTGACTCTGTATGTGTATTAGTGTGCATCTGTTTCTGTATGTTTCTGTGAGTTTGGGTGTTTGTGTGTTTGTGTGTTTGTGTGTGTGTGTGTGAACGTGCTGCTAATTAGGGCCTCAATTTAACATTATTGGATAAGCTTTTTCAATTTGACAATTGAATAAGCTTTTTCAAATAATTTTATATTTTGGGAAAAACTTTTAAAATTATTTAATATTATTTTGATATTTAGATATTTTGAAAAATTATTTTAACAGTTTATCCAAAAATATCAAATCATTTGAAAAGCTTATTCAGAAATATTAAATTGAGTGCTAGGTTGGGGATGTTATGTATTTGTGTGAGAGTTATGTATGTGCAGCAGGCTAATTAATTGTATGTGTTTGTATGAACAACGATGGGGTTTGGTCCAGGTCCATGCTAATTTTTGTTGCCTAGGACCTTGCAAATAGTGCAGGTGGCCTAGCACATGTGTAAATCATGTGTTTATAACAATGATTAGCAGGGCGTTATGATGGAGGCACATCCAGAATAAATATGCAGTCATGTGGATTTTACATTTAATTTTCAGACCTCACAAGTTCACATGACGTACTTGATTTATTATTTTTGGATAATGTTTTAAAATCTTGTTTGTTTGTTTTTCAAAATACTGAATTTTTAAAAAAAATATGTACAACATCATAAAATATCATGAAAATATAATACAAATATTTTTCAAAATATTAAATCTTTTTAAAGGTTTCTCCAAAAATATTAAATTGAAGCCAACATTATAAATTCTGAAGTGATATTTCCCCTTTAAAAAATACAATACACATATTACATTTATTAATATATTAGGCCCCACAACAGAATACTAACCTGGTTACTAATTGGCACAGTACTAATGCCATAAGTGGCACCATCTATAATCAGCACACTGCCTGTAATAGTTTCGGTGAGGTTCTCCTGCTGTCCTGCTCCAAAAGATATTTGATATTCCACTGTGACATTACCAAATGTCCCAGCAAGTCTAGTGACATTGACTAGAATATGACGGCTCAAGTCTTGGTCCACATGAATAGATTGGGTGCTTGAATACACAGTGAACACTCCATGGGGGTCGTCATTTGCAAAAACATTAAAGCGTGCTATACTTCTTGAATTATCCAGATCTGCTCCACCATCTACATACACCAGCTGGACCACATAGTGTTCATCTAATTCAGGCACATCATCCGGTAAGAGCTGTATAATGATCTCCCCAATGCTTTGTTTGTCAGGGATGAATATTGAACCCTTTGTTGCTCTGAAGTCACCTCCAATATCTGATGCACTGCTTAAAAGCCAATGGACCTTGTAAGGCAGAGAGAAATGTTACCAATTACACAACATTAAGCTACCTAATTGAAGTTAACTTTTCTTTAAAACATTTATAAGATAATATCAAAGTCAATGACCTACGAACCTGTAAGCAAATTCATTCTAGAAACTCAAAATACTATACTACTACACACTACAAGGTCAATATGTGTAATAAAAATGCCATTATACAGACCTATAGTGGCCAGAAAGGTAGTGCACTCAAATAGTGCAGTATTTACTAAGTCAAAAGAGGAAGAGTTGATTCTGTAAAATGGTACATTTGGAATAAAGATTCAATATATAAATAGAAGGCATAGGGGATTTTCTTGTGTGCCCTAGCTTCAGCTCTCACGACTCATGGAATCTCTACACATATGGAATCTCTACAAGCCAACAGTACATCTAACCTAACCTAAGGAACAGGGCCGGACTGGGGATTCCAAAGCAGCCCTGGAAAAAAATCTATGCCAGCCCCATAAGTCATTGCGCCATATATTGTCGCATGTAATATGTAAGGCTATGTCTTGCCACCCTAGATGATTGATTGATATATATATATATATATTGCTTTTTCCAATATAAAATATGGGTCCTTTCAGAGTAAAATTTTTAATTATACAGTAAGCATACTCACATGCAGACACAGACAATCATACTGACACAAGCTGATTGATACACAGCCTCATAGACAAACAATCTCACTGATATACATAAGGTCATTGACATAAAAACACAAGCCCATTCACTAGCAGGCGCGCACACACACACACAGCTTAATGTAGTGGCTCTGGTGTCTATAGCCTGTCCCTGCAGGCTTTTCAATGTAAACACGGACCTTTTAGAGAAAAGGCAGTGTTTACATTGCTTCCTAGTGACAGACACTCAGACGGTCACTAGAGGTGCTTCCTGTGTCAGTGCGGATTGGCTGAGATCATTAAGCTTGACGATCTCAGCCATAGAGGCAGGGTCAGTCGAGGGGAGACCAGCACGACGTGGGGGGGAAAAAGGGGAGTAAAAACATACATACACACACATACCATGACAGACACACACCATGACACAGACAGACCGTGACACAGACACACACAACGTGACACAGACAGAAACAGACACACCATGACAGACAGACACACACACACACCATGACACAGACACACACAATTGCTACCTGTTTGCTGGCATGGGGTAGCTGGCTCTTCTTGCGGCCGCAGAGGTAGCTCTTTAGGCACCGCAGGGGAAGCTGGCTGTTCTTGCGGCCGCAGGGGGAGCTGGCTGTTCTGTCTCTGCTCCCCCCCCCCCAGCGCACTACAATGAGGCCCCGGTCTCATTGTAGTGCGCTGGGGAGGGGGAGCAGAGACAGAACAGCCAGCTCCCCCTGCGGCCGCAAGAACAGCCAGCTTCCCCTGGGGCCGCCTAAAGAGCTCCCTCTGCGGCCGCAGGTGAGCCAGCTGGCAGCTGCCTGCCCAGCCCCAGGTGCCGACAGCCCACCAGGAAATTTCCCGGTATCCCGGTAGGCCAGTCCGGTTCTGTTATGGAATTAACCAAAGCAACCTCAGTCTTTTACACAGCCACTCTAAATATACACATTGTTTTCTTACTTTTCACATTCTCACATTTCACATGTTGACCCTGCTTTATACATTTGTTTCTGTTTGACAAATTAATTCTTATAATACCGTTTATAATTATAGTTCTATACAGGCTGATAGCACTATTTATATATAAATAATAACTAAGATTAAATACATTCACAACACACTCTAATTGGAATGCAGTAAGTCTCTTATGGAAAGACTAGTCTACACTCAACCAACACCTCCATTTTCCAGTGCTTTCAAAATCTCTCAGTTGACCATAGCAAGGGCTCAAATACTAGGTGGTCAAACCAAAGGTATCTGCCAAGAACTTGGCAACTGAAATAGATATGCAGAAAACTCACAATGTGAGTGTGAGTGATTCTTATTCAACAGTTTTTAAGAAAGTAGCCCTTAATCATAGTCCTCCGTAATAAGGGTGAGAAGATATGTCATAGTGAATAGGATAAATGACAGTCAGTACACTAGTTCGGCAAATTTCCCTGAAGTTAAATATCCCCAGCTTAGCTCTACTTATTGAATGTTTCTTTTAAACATTTCATTTTAAACTTAATTTTAGGAATACATTTTTATTTCACATAAAATATATTTTAATGAAATCATACACAATCTAGAAATAAATGAAAACTTTCAACAGAATTGAAATAAATAATCAATGCTGATTACCTAGCAAATCAGTTTTAATTTGTTTGGAAAGCAGGGCATCTGATTTATAATAAAATGACAATAGTACCGTAAGATTTCCCAGGGTTCCTTGGATTCTCTTCACTAGGAAAGTTATGTTCAGTGGCCCGTCAGCAGCTTCTGGCTCAGTATAATTTTTAATCAAAATTGATTCATCCGCAAACTGAATTATTCCATTAGGATCGCCAAATTTCTTTATCTTGAAGGGAAAAATGTCAAAAAATGAACATGTATGTTCTGGTCAAACAAACATGAAAGAAAATGCTTCTTGTTACACAATCTATCAGTTTCAATTTAAAGTCATAAAATATTTATCATATAATCATGAACCTAAAAATGTAAAAGACAGATACTAGTCTACACAGAGATCAAGTAACCCACTGAAGTCCAGTAGGCCACTAGAACTTTGCTTCACATTTCAACTGTAACTCTCTTGTCCTGGGTGATTCCCTCACTGGATGAACGCACTAAAACAGTAACTCTTAACAATGCTCTCCAGGACATCCGTTGTAAGTTGAATATGTGTCAAGAATAAGCAAATGACTATTCTAGAAAGCTTTGGGTGACAGCCAGATTCAGACTCGATCAGCTATGAAGGAGAATGAAATCGAGCCCAGCTTTATAAGAATCTTTTCCAGCATAGAGATGTCCAGCTGTTTTGCAGAAATATACTGACTACACCAATCCAGCAAATAACTGATTGCTCATACTCCTGTTATTGATCTCTGGATAAGTATGTTGTATTATATGAAGCTCTCTTTCTTTCTCTCTCTCTCTCTTTCTTTCCTTATTACAGTATATTCTATAATAACATTAGTCAGCTTATGATCCTTACTTCTCAGTGTGGTCATTTTCTATTGCAAGACCATAAAACCCTCATCACAAGTTGGGATCACACAAAAAAAAAAAATTATAATTCCACAACCTACAAATCAACAAAAGACCAAGGGTTTCTTTCTTGTGCGTGCTACAATGGATGTAACCCCGTCCTGTACCAATGTCAATCAAAAAAGGCCTGCACTTACTATCAGTGTTACATTGCCAGCTTTGGGATCGATCTCCGTACTTCCACTTGCAATAGCTAATGTGATAATGAATTTCTCTTGGACCTCAATTTCTCCATGAGGGAGTATTGTTAAGTGTATAGTCCTTGTCCCACCTTCTCCATCTTCAAAATAGAAAGAACCATTCAGAGGTTCACCAAAATCATCATTATTTATGGGCAAAATTTCATTAGAATTTGGCCCCAATATCTTCCACAAGACCTGAAAAAGAACAAAATAGGAAAAAGAAAAACGATAATGGTATAAATTATTTTACAGAACACTTCAATTCCTCTCTGCTATTTAAATTCAGTCAATAGAACCCCAATATATGTAAAAGTATTTTTCCATGATGCGCAGCCTGTCTTTAGACATTATGCAAATATATCTCACTAAGTTTATATATTATTGCTTTAAATGTATCACATTGCGAATGCGCATGTATGTATAAGTGTTAGTTGTGAGTTTTCAGTAGACAAGTGCAAAAAAGACTTTTATTGTTTTATCAAAATGAAGTGCCCTGCTTATCGTCAAAGGAATAATTTTAGAAATGATGTTCCTTCATGAACAAACTGAATCACCCAAAAGAAAATCCTGTTTCGGGTATTGATTAGAAGGATTTTAATTTGGATGATTCGATTTATTTATGAACAAACCAAATTTTGGAATCAAACTTATTGCACATGTATAATTTTCAGTTCAGTAATAAAACAAAAACTGCATAATTTATACCTGAGCTTCTCCAAGGTGACCACCTGTCCTTTCCAGCACGAGTGACAGGGTGAGTGATATATTAGGATTATGAAGAATAATCTGGCTAGTATTCAGGAATCTCACTGCTCCATTAGGAGAGTCACTTTTAGCAATGGTGATCAGACACACTAGGTGTTGGCCAAGTACTGCACCTCCGCTGGCTCCCACAAGCAAAATCTCGAACTGCTCAGCAAATTCGCTGCAACAGAAAAAATATATATATAAAAACATGTAAATACACTACGCCATTTTCTTTTTTGTTATTTTACCCAGTCTAACTTGTAGCTACTCCAGGTCCCTTTAGAACTCTGCTGTGTTGAGTAATTCCTTGGACTGATTAATGCCATGTACTAATTATGTCACGTGACACATGCAAATATACATTCACCAATATGATCATGTCCATATTATCAGCCTCCAGCTTTTAATTAACCATTATTTCTGGAACTTATGATCTACCCTAAGTTCCTGACTGCAGAACCACTTAGTACCCTGTACCTTGGGCACCTAAGAGTGTATTTCAAACTCAATGCCAGAGGAGGTAAAATGAAAGTGACTTAGAAATGTTTTCTAGAACAGCCATTTTGTCCATTGAAATTTCCTTGGAGTTCACTTTGAATTGTCACTTTAGTAAATGAACCAATGTTTCATAAATAGGTCCTAAGCTGAACCACCCAGTTGACTTGGGGTCCTTTTATAATTACCCTCTATCAGGCTCAGTTAGTTGCCAGGATGTCCAAAGTGTTACAGTGTATATGGTACTATTAAGTATCTGAAACATTGCAGGCTGCGAGAATTCTGTTCAAATAGAATGTCTCCTCTTAGTAATTTCACATACCTGTGTGAATAAAGGATATATTTATAAAATACTAGCATTTTATCCTTATTTTCTGATTTTCCCTTTTTAAAGGAATTACGTGTTATTAAATTCAGGCAGCATTATCAGCACTTTCAGCATTTTCGTAGTGAAACTTAGTAAATAGTTAATAAATAAACTGTGTATAAAAGTTTCTGTGGAGTGTTTCTCCTCTGGTGGAATAAATGGATTTGGCCTTGTGGGTGAAGTACAGTCACATAAATTATCATATTAGTGTAACTTCATAGTTATGAAACAAAAAAAATTTATATATATAAATAAATTTGAGACAGTCAAATAAAGATACACAAAAGAAAAAAAAGTAAATTTAAAGGCAATTCTCTAAACTCATAAATGATAATGATTAATAACCAAGTATAAATAAGGATGAATATTAAGAAAATGGAAAGGAAACTAGTGTCTGTATAGGGGAAAAGTGAACAGAAACATGAAAAACAAAACAACATTAAGAAATAAATTAATATGTATAATACATTAAAAAAAATAATATTCATTGAGTGTCCCCAATAAAATTTAAATAAATGATGTCACAGAAGTGTTGTAGAAATTAAGGGAAACACACATGCGACAAAATAAACAGTATTTGGTTCATGGACCAGGCTACCGGTGTCTCAATGCAACTCAACTTACCAGTTAGATTCTACACTGGTGATAACATTCAAATTGAATGCATAATTTGTATCTTAGATTTTCCAGTATAGACCAAGACAACCGACTGTGTTATTTTATCAATAGTATCTAACTTTCTTTCCCCAAACTAAGTTAGACTGACATACAATTTTTTTTTACCTTTCTTCGTCATCAGTAATTAGAACGTTGATAAAATTCAACATCTGGCCACCTTGAAATACTACTGAAGTATTAGAAATTGTGTAGTCAATGCCATTGGGTGATGCAGATATGCCATGTGATACAAATTCAGCAGTTACATATCCATATGTTCCGCGTAGCCTTACAACAGGAATTAGTACTGCTCCGACATCTTCTTCCACTAGTCAAACAAAATGAGGAATGTAATATTTTTAGTTACATATACACTGATCATTCACAACATTAAAAACCACCTGCCTAATACCATCCATATATTTGAGAGAACGTTACCTGCGCTCTGGCCTAAATCCCTATGTACATTTAAACAAAATGGAGGCTCTTTAGTTTTATTACAATGGAAATTTAAATATAAGCTCACCTGCCACGCCAAGGCAAGTCCTACACTAGCCATTAGATTTGCTGATATTAGCCAATAATCTCCAGTAAGACAGGAAGGGGTATTTTATAAACCCTTTCACATTTAACCCTTTATAGGGCTTCTACACATACAATAAACTTTGTTGGTATCAGACAAAGTGGAAACATCTCTTATGAGACATGAAGGGGTGTTTTATAAACCCCTACATACTTATTAACCCTAAATAGGGC